CCTCCGCTAGGGGCTGTCAGAGGACTGAGCTCAGGGGGGCCAGGGGCGTGGCCGTGAGGGGCAGGGGCTTGCTTCGTTTCTTCCTCAGCTGGTTACTCAGGGTTCATCTGTTCATGGCCTTTCTAATAAACCTACAACTGAGCTGAGCACCTCTCTTCCATCCCTGAACCTGCCCGCCCTCCCGCTGGGCACCACGGACTGCAGCAACAGCGAGACGTGGGCCAGGACCGCTTAGCCCAGGTGCTTGAAGGTCATCTGGGGTGTGGGAAAGCCTGTGACCCTGTTGGGGACAACATACTGGTGTTGATGAGAGTAATGGTATTATATTTTTAAAGAATTATTAAAGACTTATTTTTAAAATTTATCATCATTATTTAAGTTTGCTATAGGGCACATGTGCTCACCGGAGGGGGGTGGGGAGGGAGGGAAAGCGCCATCGGGTCCGGACTCACCGCGGTGGACTTTGGAGAAGTGCAGCACCTTGGCTACCATGCCACCTGCTGGCCTCAAGAATTGTGTTTTTACAAGATTTTGCTTTAGGGGGCATGTGCTTGCCAGAGACCGAGACAGAGAGAAAGTGAGAATCACCCACCCGGGAGGGTGGCCACGCTTTGATCCCTTCTCCATTCTCCCAAGATCTTGGGCACATGTGTGTCGCCCCCAGAGTGAGTTTTAAGCCACTGGGTCTGGGACTGCCACCACAGTTGGCCATGTGGGAGTCCAGCGATGAAACCACTAGGCCGGGCTAAGACTCAAACCGGTCCATGTGGCACTCCAGTGCCTTAATCACCGTGCTGCCTGCTGGCCCTAGTAATGGCATTAGCCAGCCGTGACTGCATGCCAGGCCGCGCCCAGGCCCTGCGCGTGCATCTCAGCCGGTGCGAGGTAGGTGCCACCACAGTATCTCCATTTAGAGTTTCTGCTGGAGTGCTAGAGTGCATGCGCTCACCAGAGACAAGTGAGAAGGCATGGGAACCAGTCCCGCGTGGGGGACAGTCGTGCCATAATCCCTGCTTCATTTCTCCCTTCTGCTGGGATTTGGGGCACACACACGTACCTGGCATGTCTTTATCTTGACTTATTTTTTAATTTGACCAGAGAGAGAGAAGGTAAGCCACCGGGTTCGGGACTGGAGCCATGGTCGGCCATGTAGGAGTCAGTGCCCTTAACCACCATACCACCTGTAAGCCACTGGGTCTGGGACTCAAACTATGAAGTCAGCCACGTGGGATCCAGCCGCCTTAACTGCCTGGCCCTATCTCCGTTGTGTAGAGGGGAAACTGAGGCTCGGGAATAGCATTCTCTCCTATAGCTGTTTTCCCAATACCTACTCTGGCCCTGCTCCAGATGAACCGGGTAGAGGATGAGATCGCATTCGTGGGTCTGACCTCATAAGAAAGGAGCAGTTAACCCACGCCAACTGATAAGACGTGCAAACTAGAGCGAGATCTAGAGATCTGGTGGTCGGGAAGGGGCAATGGCCCAGAGGCTGAGCGCTGAACATGAGGAGGCGCCAGCCCAGACCAGGAGGCACAGGGCAGAGCGAGCATGGAGCTTCCTGAGGGAGCTGGCATCTGGTTCAAATCCTAGCCCTTACAGGATAGAGAAATGGAGTCGAGATTGCAGAACGACCACGCTTCGTTGGGGGGTTTTCCTTCCACTTCCTGTCTCTGTCTCTCTCTGGTGAGTACATTGTGACTTCTCGCTTATAATAAAATGAAAAGCAGCCCCGAGGGGGACACAGGTTAGGTGTGTTAAGAGGAGGGTGACAGAGCTGTGACCCTGGAGTGAGGGGTTTGCACAAGGTAAGGTTGGAGAAGAGGCAAGGACCAGCCATGCTCGGCTTTGTCGACCAGGGCCCGGCATGAGGGTTAAACTCTAACTGAAGGGCGAGCTCTTACTAGGGCAGCCTGCGGTGTGGCTAAGGCAGGTAGAGCCCACTGGCCAGCTGTACGGTTCCAGTCCCAGACCTGGCTTGGAAAATGCCAGGGGCGTGTGCATGCCCAGAAGCCGTGAGGAGGGCGAGGTGGAGAGGGACTGTGGCATGGTCTCTAGTGGCCTCGTAGCCCCGAGTGAGGGGTGTCTTCCTTTGCTGTCTCAGCTTTTTCGTCTCCCATATATGGTTATATTTTTACTCACTTTTGATGGGATGAAAGGCCGTTTCAGAATTACGTAGGCATGCCCTGGGCTCCTGGGCTGCTAGATATGCAGGCAGACGTGAGGTTGCAGAGTTGCTGGGTCGCTATCCGGGCTACAAGGTCACTAGGAGCTGCTAAGCTGCTATGGGGACAGGGCTACAAGGTCACCTCAGATGGCACATGGTTTTTAAGTTTTAAGCATGTCCCCTTACCTTGGTCCTGGAGGCTCCGCTACCACAAGGGAGAGCGAGAAAGCAAGGAATCACTCACCGCGGGGGGATGGCTGTGCCACAATCCCTTCTCCATTCTCCTCTCAGGATTTTGGGCTGCACACGCCCGCGCCCAGCACGATTTTCAAGCTGCCGGGTCTGGAACTCGGCCCGTGGTCAGCCGCGTGAGAATCCAGAACCTTAACCACTACACCGCCTGCTGGCCCCAAGAGATAAATATCCAAATGGAAATGTCAGTTAAAAGTTGTGGGGCAGCTGGTGGGGGGGGGTTAAGATGGCTGAATCCCATGTGGCTTACTGTGCGGTGTGAATCCCACAGCCAGTGGCTTGAAAAACACTGGACATGGGGACCAGCAGGTGGCATGGTGGTTAAGGCGCTGGACACTCCCACCTGGCTGACTGCAGTTCGAATCCTGGACCTGGTGGCTTGCTTTCTCATTTTTCTCTTTCGCTCTGTGTGTCTCTCTCTGGTCAAATTAAAATAAATGAATGAATAAAACTGAATAAAATAAATCTTAAAAAAGAAAAAAGGAAAACACTGGACGTGTGTGCGTACATGCCCAGGATCCCGATAGAATGGAAGTGAGGGGACTGCAGTGTGGCCATTCCCCCGGAGGATGATTTCTCACTGTCTCTCTCTCCCTCTCCCTCTCTCTCTGCTGAGTGCACATACCCTCTAGCAAACTTTAAAAAAGAAAAAACGAGTTGTAATTAGAAGTTGGCGTTCTGGGCAGAAGTGGACGCTGGTGGTGCGGAGCGCTGGCAGCCCGCTCTGCTCCTGACTCTGTGTCCGGGCTCGCCCCGGAGCGAGTCGGGC